CTTGTTGTTGTTTGTTGTTGGATGTTGCTGTTTTTTTTTTGCCTTGCTGTTTTTTGGCTCTTGCTGTTTCACTGTTTTTTGCTCTTGCTGTTTCAATTGTTGTTGTATACTTGTATTACATTTACAACTTCTGTTTCAGCTTTCAAGTGTTGTTGTTGATTAGTCACATTAGATCTTGCACCATTAATACTGTTATAAACTTATATTATATGGATTATGGAACACAACAATAGCTGATCGGACTATGGAAGGATCTGTTTCAAGTGTTTTGTTGTTGTATTTCTATTACAGCTTTTGTTGTTGATTAGGGAACATTACAGCTTCTGTTATCGAAGGATCTGTTTCGAACAATACAACCTATATTATATGGAACACAATACCCGAACCCGTCAGAACCCGAACTGGCCCGAACTCGATGTGCCCCCAAACCCGAACTGCACATTACGGATGTGGTATTGTAACCCGATACTCGATCGGGTTAGTCCTTTTATGATTCGATCTAACCCGATCTGACCCGGCACAGCCCTAACAGCATACAAATGGGTAACAAGTCATCATTAATGTTATTGGCTTAGTAAGTCGTAAAGAGTCTTATTAGACTATAATGGGTCTTAGTGGTCTTTTCGAACTTAATAGACATCACATTCATATATAATGGGTCTTAGTGAGCTTCAACGGATCAATTGGCCTTTAATGAATTTTATTGGGATTAATCTGTTTTTTTCCAGCTATATTAGGTTTTAATGGGTTATACTAGGCTTTAATGGATCTTAGTGAACTGTAATGATTATATTGGGCTTTAATGGATCTATTGAACTTTATTCAGTATTATCGGGCTTTAATCTGTTCAAATGTGCTTTATTCGGTTTTTATTGTACTTTAATGGGTTATATTGAGTTTTAATGAATCTTAGTGGGTTGTAATGGACCTATTGGGTTTTATTCATTTTAATGGGTTTATTGGGCTTCATTCAGTATTATTGGGCTTTAATGGGTTATATTAGGCTCTAAATGTTGTTCTAACGAGCTTTATTCGGTTTTATTTGAATCTAATGGATCTTAGTGGGTTGTATTGGATCTATCAGGTTTTATACAGTTTTAAAGGGTTTCATTGGGGGTTTAATGGATCTATCTGGCTTTATTCAGTATTATTGGGCTTTAATGGGTTATATCATTTAAAATTAATTGTTCCTTAATAATTTGTAATTAAAGATTATGTATTATTTTATTAATTATTAAAATCATTGCTAAAAGTTTCTTGGTCCCTTGCTAATTCTTTGCTAATTCGTCATTAAAAGTCCCTCGTTAATCCGTCGTTAAAAGGTTCCCTTGCTAATCCATCGGTAAAAGATTCCGTCGCTAGTCCGCCACTGATAATTGGTTGTCGCTAAAAAGTACTTGTCATTGATCCGTTTGCTGATACCATTACCCACGACCTTTTGAACCACAGATTATCAGCGACGGATCAAGAACGGATCCAACCTTTAGCAACACGACTCTTTCCATTGCTAGTAGTCTTCAGTTTTGTAGTGTCATCCGTTAAGGTAAAGTGAGCGGGCAAACACTTACCGAGTAATCGTTTAGTAAACGACCCATAAAAATATTTCGACTTAGAAATTAACAGAATTTTAATTTTTTTTAAACATCTTCAATTCATAACTCTACTGACTTTTCGGTTTGATCGAACATATTTATAAATAAATAAATAACTAATTGAAACCTTAAAACAATAATTATAAATAAATAAATAACTAACTAATTGAAACCTTAAAACATTAAAAATGCCCTAATTACAATCATCAAAGATATAAATTGAAACGTAAGTCCACAAAATATATGTAACAATATATATCTCATAAGAATAAAGTATTCTTTTAGATACCATTAAGAAAAGCTTCACACAAAATACAAAAAACTTAAAGACAAGTCTTATTTTACGTAAATGGATCTGTACATAGACAGCCAACAATCCAAGTAGCACCTTAATTGCACATCAGTATAACAAGATTAAGCAAACTACACTTTTGGTCCCTATGGTATGTCAAATTACAAATTATGTTATGTGGTTTGTAAATTCTTACGGATTTAGTCTTTTATCCTAAGGGTCTTTAGTGGAGGCCGGTTAAGTCCCTTCACGTGATGAGTTTTTAAATAAATTTCGATGTACATATCCTTAAAGCATGTGTACAACCCATTAATGCATCCATCAGTGGCGGAGTTAGAATTTGGGTCTAGGGAGGCATCAATTATAAATATATGGTGAATCACAATCTGTTTGTTCTTTTTGAATCATAATCCTATTTAGCAGTTTACAACGATCTATCTATTTTATTAGTAAAATTTGTTATACTAAATTAGCTATCACAATATGTTTGTTCATTATCTGCATAATCTATTGATATTTGTGCTTGATTTGTTTGTAATTTACCAAAATCTGTTTCTATTACTAAACCACATAATTCTTGAATTGAACCAATAAAAATCCTAAATCCTAATCGAGAGAGAGAGAGAGGTTAAGGGCCTGAGACTCTGAGAGGGACCCAAGTGCAATTAAATGTCTAAACCCTATACAAGATCGGATTTACAGGACACTAAAAATGTATGAGTGTCTTAATATACAACTTTATAGTATTTAAGCTTATAAGACCACATACAAAAGTGTTGTAATAAACTTATAAGATGTTTTTGGACGTCTTAAAAAAAATCAAAGTCTTTTTTGAAACTAAGTGTCCTGTTATTAGCCCTTTTATAAAACACTACTTGAAAAGGTGTCATATAAAACAAGTGTTGTATATAAAAATTTATTTATTAGACATGTCTCAAAAGTGTGTTATAAAAGGCCATATACGACCCTTTAGTTTCAAAAGCGTCCTAAAAAGCTAGTTTGACACCCAAAAGCATCGTGTAAATCTATCACAACACTTTTAAATTGGATAATTAAGTGTTTGGTCCTATAAATCTATGTCGAATAAAGTACTCAATTAAGACATTGAAATACTTTTTTTTGTTAGTAAATGTGGGTTTTCTCTGAGACGTTAAACTAGGAGGGTTGTTGCCCTGTTTGTTTGAGAGAAGGAGTTGCAGTTGTCATCCGGTGAAGGTTGAAGGAGAGAACAGTGACAAAGGTGCAGTGACCGTTCGTAAAAATCAAGGTTGATGGAGGTTCAGTTGCCTCCTTAGGTATGTGTTGTGTTTAGTTTGACGATGATAATGGAGCCCTAGAGAAGGAAGCCGGAACGGTGAGGCAACAATTATGTTCATGTAGTCTACTGTCTAGTAGGCTAACTTTAACACAAACCTTAAAAAGAACAAAATTTTGCTATGAATTTTGTTGTTATTTACCACATAACACAACAAAACTAGTAATGAACCAAAGCTTAAGAATTGAAGGTGAATAATTTGAATATGGAATAAAAAAAGGGAACTCAACAAGTGAAGTGGTAGAGTGGCCAACTAAACTTTCTTACTTTTACTACACTTAGTAGTACATGAACACTATTTAGCCAACCAAAAAGAAAAGTGGCCATGGCCCCCATTGCTATGACCATCCGCCCCTGAACGGCTACACCCATCCCTTCCCTCTTCTTCCTCCCCTAAACAAGACCAACAACGTTACCCTTTCCCCTCCACGGTTTCATCCTTTTATCTCCGTCCTTTCCTCGTCGTCATCCTACTCCTTCCTTCAGTATGAAAGCAAAATAGTTCTTTTACCATTTTTAATCATTCTTCTTTCTTTTCTCGAGTATTCATCCTCTCCACATTATCAATCAAATGCATCATGGACAAAGTTATACAAATCCTTACAAAAAGTGTGTGTATATATATATATATATAGGCAAAAGAACGTATGAGAAGGGAGGCTATTGTGAGAAGCTTAAGAAGATATCTGAACCCTTGATCACTTTTAATCTCATGTACACCAATGAATTGCACTTTAAAAGGAAATTGAGCCAGTAGTGCATCCTGATGCACCTCATTAATGTCGACATTTAATTAGGATTGATCGGGATGGAGATCTCTTTTTACGCTTCTCATCATAAGTTTCCTTCTCACCGGAACCCAACCCTATATACATATCATCAAAAATTCAATATTAAGAATATATGAACATAAACAACGATTTATTACAATTTCCTTCAAAAAGTTTGTGACACAAACTATAATTCAAAAACCTAAATAAAAAAATGAACATAAATTAAAAAATTGTATAAATTTGTGTTCTTGAATCTTAAATCTTTGAGTTCGATTTTCTGACTGGTTGTGGGGGAGATCATGATGGAGGGAAGAAACACGGGCAAAAAGCAAATGGGCCTTGGTCAAGGAACACATGGAAGAAACCACGATATGCAATGGAGGCAAGGTGATGTAATGAGGAAGGCAGTTCGACTCTTAAGCGAGAGGGAAAGGGTTTTAGCGGTTGCTAGAGAGATAATAGTGCAAATATTGTTCAAGAAAAGGTAATAAAAAAAACAATTAAAAAATTGTTAAAATTGGAGATAAGTTATAAATGAACATTTTACCCATGGAGTTAACCGAGATGGTGATAGTCGTTTGGTACGGGGATTTAAACCCGTGATAAAATGCAAACAATGGGTGTTTTTTGTAATAAAAATGAAGTTCAGGGAAAAAACCATGATTATTGACATACTATAGGGACCAAGACGGTTATTTACTAAAAGTAATTGTTTTCTAACGACCCCAGGGCTACTATTGTCATTTCCTTCTACGTCAACTACCAAACACGTCTTTGAAACGTCACCATTCACTATTGAAGAAACGTCACCTATTTTCCCCCCACTCGCACGTGAGCGCGTGTTCCATATTCATCTTTATTTTTTGCTTGATGACCCCTCTTTGGCGCGTGGAAATGAAATTTATCTTCGAGCACTGTCGAGAAGGCTTCATGTCACTTTCCTTTTTACATTTTCTTATTTTATTTAAAAAATCATATACATTTTTTGTGTATATATATTGTGGAGAGGTAATGTACGGCTCACACCACCAATTATCATATGGAGTCTCCTATTTGGCCGGAGAGTTTACCGATTAACCGGAAAAAGGCTATTCAAGAACTCACCCAAGGCCAAGAATGGACCGATAAGCTTCGGGAAATCCTTCAACAGTCGGAAAACATCGAGTCCGACTCCGCATCACTCGACGGTGTAGTGGATCGAATCTTGGGGATGTTCGACAACACCCTCTCGATCATGGGCTCTCGTACTTCCAACGAGCCTCTTCAGTTTCTGACCAATTATTTACAAACTAGTTATAGTTTTGATGAGCAGAAATCAAAAACAAGTGATTTGCAATCCTTGTGTAGTTTGGAATTGGATGAGCGGAAATTAAGAAAGTCTGACGAGACGTTTTCGCTCCAAACGAGTTATCTGGAATCCCCACGTAGTTCAGACGAGAACAAATCAAAAAAGTATGACGAGACTTCAAGAATGGTAATACCTGTGAAAATGAAAAGGGGATGTCATAAAAGGTATAATATTCGTTTTTGAATGTGTCGTTATTCTTGTATACTTAGCACATAGATTATAATTATATCAAACTAACTCATCATGCACCTTATTTGCTTTTGAATTTAATATATACATATATATCAAGTTGTGAATAATTAATTTGTTTGAGCACGTGCAGAAAAACCTCGTGGGCATCTACACAAATAACTTCAATTTTGACCGACGATGGTCATGCATGGAGAAAATATGGTCAAAAGAAGATTCTCGAGTCAAAACATGAAAGGTAGTTTTTTATAACCATCTTATATTTAGCAAACTAATTGATAAGCTAGTTGTTGGCTGACGATATTAAATAATTAATTAAAGAAAGCCCCTTAAACCGTATTGAAATGCTACTTGAAGTTGATTATTAAAAAGTAAGCTCATGGCTAACCAATTTTGGTGATGTATGTTTATTTATATGCAGAAGCTATTATCGGTGCACCTACAAGCATGACCAAGGGTGTCTAGCAACCAAACAAGTTCAAAAGATGGAAGATGAGCCACCGGTATATAAAATAACGTACATGAGAAGCCATACTTGTAAAAATCTACAACGAGCACCGCAAATCATTTTGGACTCTGTGGATCCTAGAGATACCTCAATCCTTCTTAACTTTAAGGCGAAGGAGCTCACGGGAAACAAACAAGTTAACCACTTTTTCCAACCCATGAAACATGAACCCAATGAAGGTTCTCCTTCCTTAGGTAATCAGAGAGACAACCAATCTACACCTTCCGATGATTGTCTTTTATGGGATCTGATTATGAAAGTTCCACAAGTTCCATTAGAATCAGTATCTATGTCGGTAGGGTTAGATCATGAGATATATTTGTGGTCGGAGCATGGGGACATGACATCCTCATATTCATCTATGGCTAGTACCGAACGGCATGAGATGGATTATATGTTTGAAAGTAATGATTTCAAAGATTTTTCCTTTTGAGTTTTGCAATGTATTTATGATAATGTAAAGAATGCAGAATTGTTTTGTGAACTACGTTCTAAAGTTGGTCAAAGTCAAGCCTAGTTTGATTATATGAATGGTGAGGGAGAAATTGTAACATCGCAGACCAACCGCATCATTATTGTACGCTTTGTCCATACGCTTGAACTCACGATTTTAAGACATATCTGATAGAGGAGATATCAAGTCCCTTATAAGTCAAAATTTATTACCCTCCTCAACCAATGTGGGATCTTACATTCCAACCCCTAGAGAACCCAACGTCCTCGCTAGCATACTAGTCCGGTTCACAGCTCTGATACAATTTGTTACATCCCAAGATTGTAACAACCCAAATTCCAAAACAACATATAACATTATAAACGGTCAAATCGGCCCCAAAAGTTACAAAGATGTAGATCATATATATAATCTCATACCTACACATACACACACACACACACATACTTTATACTATTACTCTAACCTAAGACCACATACAAGTAGATTATATATTAAAACCTAGAAATAAAACATTAAAAGTGTGAAAAAAAAATCAAATAACGTCTTACAAAATGTATGCGTCGGTTCGGTAGTGACGTGTCACGGACTCAATGAGACGTCCAAGACAAGTCTTGCACCATGACGATCCTTTTATACCATCTCCAACCCACTAAAATGGAGTCAAGAATTATTCATCCTTAAACCTATTTTGAACGATAAAAAAGTATTCCAAGTATATTCTATTTTCTCTAACCTATAAAATTTTTCTATAATATACCTTCAATTTATCATTTGTTACAATTATAACCCACATCTTTTTATTACAATAACTTCATTAATTATGTTATTACACAAGTATAACTACGATAAATTATTTGTATGTAATTAATTTTCAATTAATTATCATATCATCAAAAAAAAATTCATTAAATAAAAATATTACATTTATAATACACGTTTAAATAAATACTACGCATACATTTAAAGAAATAATATATATACATTTAAAAAATATCACACATATATTTAAAGAGATATTACACATTTAAGGTCCTTAGAGTTAACATCGTCAGTTAACAAACGTCAGAAGAGACAAATCAGTAGTTGTACAAACTACAAGAACCAAAAGTGTAATTTACTCTATAGTTAATTGTGATTCAAAGTTTTTTTTAAATTCTTTATTAGAAATATCTTAAGTAGGGTTAACAAAAATAATATTTTGATTATTATATTAATTTAATTATTGTAGCTTATTCATAGTTTTTTGATAATTCAATTTAAAATGTCTCATATAATTTTTAACTTTAAAATAAATAATTTTTTAATAAAAAAATTTATTTATTTTAAGGAACAACTTTTTTAATATATAACTTTGCCACGTTAACTGTACTGAAAATATTTTTAATAACGAAATTGAAAAAATGTCACAATTAATTTTAACGTGAATTATACTTTTGGTCCCTGTAGTCTGTCTAAAGATTAATTTGTCCCTCTTAACGATTGTTAATTCCAGAAACTTTTTTTATTAACCTGGATATCCAACTTGTTATGAGAGTCGACTAATCTCAGGGCGATCACCTACTTTGCAGATAGCCCGGAGTCATTGCATTTGAACCTCCGTGGTCACTAGAGGATTTTTATTCCTCCTTGGATTTGAACCTGTGACCCCTGGTACTTTTGACCTTTGGAGTCAAACTCAAACCAATCAGACACCACCCTTGTGGTTAACTCCAGAAGCATTGAATGTTATGAAATTGAAAAGTTAAAAACAATCAATGTAGATAATTTGTTTTAGGGTCCAAATCTACAAATTGAGCATGCTACAGGTACTAGGAGTGTAATTTACTCAATTAAATATTATTCTTTCTTTGTTTGGATATATATCTTTTGTTCATAAATCCTATCTTGTCTTGTTCATTTTCAGTATTTTTCATTTTCTTATGAATCCCATCTTGTCTTGTACACTTTTAGGATGTTTTTTTATTACTAAATTTGGAAACTATAAACTTATTTTTTATTTCCTAAAAAAGCATCTTAGGTGGCTCATAGAATTCCTAAAATATCCTCCATGTGAATAGTATTTTTAACAAATATAAAGAATATTGACCAAGCAATTAGCATTTTAATTAAGATTTTAAATGATATGAGGCATGACGTAACGATGAAGTTAAGTCTCAAGTTGTACAAGTTAAGACGAGATCATGACGTTTTTTAAGGTGTGTCATAAGACGGCATATATATAGACACATACATCCAGTTGTGTGTGTTAGTGTTTTGAATAATATCATAAAGTTAATTAAATTCATATAAAGTAACAAAAATGTTGGGTTTTAAGTAAAAAAGTTTTTCTAAAATTAAAACACAAGCCGAATCCAATGACACATTTAATTAAACTCTAAACAAACTATAGGGTGTTTAGAATTGTACTTATCAGATTTGTAGTCGGTTCTGACAAAGCACTTAGAAACCAAAAGGTTTCCTCTATCAATAGTCCACGCACGAACATGGTTTGCGCTTCCATAAGGTGTTAGCCCAAAACCCTAGATCTAATATGTGTTTTACAGAAAAGAAGAATAAGTTTATTTTCTGTGTTTTCTGATAGCAAAAATCTAAAAGATTCAATATCTTAAATTGATTTAATATATCATCTTATTTATATGGACTGTCTTATAGTTGGTATAATTGAAACAAGGTTTTAGTAGTTATCTATAATATGTATATAATTATTTTAACCATTAATATAATTATATATATTTACAAATAACACCCCTGTAGTTATCATGATTATACTTTAACACATATTTCATAATTATCCTCCAAGAATAATTATTTCAATAATCAACATGATTTAATTCGGGTTACAAAAATAGAGGCAAACATATACATACTCCTTAGCAGTATTCTTGTGCGACACTGTCGTGAGCACATAATAACTTACATTCTCCATTTGCACACGATACACAGTAACACAGACGGTGACAAATGTCTAACAACAAGTCACCACCCCCAAGGATATATAAATGTGTTTTTCCTTAAGCAATCTGATTGATCCAATCAATCATATGTTAGAATCATTCTTTATCCTTTTGCTTCACAATATTTTATTTTGATCTTAAGGCATGATATATCGTATTAGGCATGATAATTGGGTGGGATGGCGTGGGGACCTTAATCTGCATCCTCATCTTCGTCCCCGTTGGGGAATATGATCACATCCCCATCCCCAACGGGGATCCCCAACAGGGAAATGCTGATTGCATTCGAATATGTGAGACATCAAACATGTTTAAACCTCACATATTTCCATTAAACCTAAATTTAAAACGAGTTTAACTTAATACAAAAAAATCACATCATATAATAATTAATAACTTAAAACCAAAAGAATTTCAATTAAATCCAAAAAAACTTATGTAATACCCCAGAATCAAAATTGCATATAAACATATATTTCATATATCAAGAAATACACCCGGTCCCAAATATAATAAAAAGCTACATTACAAAAGTAGCTATCAAATTTTTCTCACCAAATCACTATACAAAACTTGTATGCATAACAAGTATTCAAAAATAACATATAAGCATGTTATCCTCCACATCACATGTAAACATATAAGACTTTTCACAATTTCCCTTTCCCCTTATCCTCTGTTTGGGCACGACCTATAGTGCACATTTTAAAACACAAAATGAGGGTTAGATCTTGAGGTCTAGTGAGAAATCCCTTTTGATGCAATTACAGGGTGAAAATCACCAAATCGTGTTTATAAACCCATATTTGTAATAATAACAAATATAAATCATTTTGATATAAGAAATCTCATTTATTGCATTCAAATGCCCAATATCTTGAAAAATACCTCATGGGTAAAACTTGTCGCATCATATAGAAATTTATACAACTTGTTGCATCAGAGCCTAGAGGCAAGACCAACCAAAGCCCCTCTGATCTTACCAACCAGAGGCAAGACCAACCAGATCCCCTCTAATCTTATGACAAGTGTTCACTTCATCGCATCAATAGGATGCGATAAATATGAATGTGATCAAAAATCCAGATTTCACAATTTTATGATTATGACACCCTTATCCTGGTATATACATCTCTTTGACATGTCACCCTTATCTCAATATACATATCTCCTTGATATGTCACCTTTATCCCAATATACACCTCTTTTTGATATATCATTCTTATTTCCACACAAGATGAAATCATAACAAAAACCCACAATTTTGCCAATAATGGCATCAAAACAGTTCCATAATATAATCTCATATAAAGAACCATACGATTCTATACCCAGTTTCCAAGTAAGAAAAATTCATAACAGTTAAACTCACTTTGATTCGCAGAGAAACAAATAACAACAACGAAGATTTAGGAAGGAATCATAGAGATCAGCTTCTAATTCTTCCCCTTTTAGTTTTGTTTGCTTTGCAACAAGAGAACACACACAAAGAAAACATCCCTTATCTTTTTCTGTTGGTCCCAAAAGGGTCTACAAGAATACTAAACAGTTTGTAGAAGGGGAGGATGAATACAAACACAACGTTTTCAAATTTAAAATATATATTGATAAAGAAGATCAATACAGATTTTAC